GCATTGTTTTTAGAAAAAATGGAGTCCCCTTCTACACTTCCAGTTGCGAGTTGAGCCATAATTGTGTAACGTGTATTTCTCATGATTGCTTTCGGGACTAAATAAAAGGTAAGTGTGACCCCTGACAAGTTTCAGTGCAGTACTTCTTCCAGTTTCTTTTTATGTGTCAGGTTGACAGAAATAGCCGCGGTGCTCATTCCACTTTCTGCACAACAGTAGAACAGAACGCTAGTGTCCCTGTGCTGTCTGTCGTCCCAATGCCATGGTGTCATTAAACTGTTCCAAGATTGGAATGAAATTGTGCATTTGATTACAAAACTTGGCATTATTAACCGTTTTTATTCTCCAACTCTCATAAATGTACAGAAAACTTTCCAGAACTCTGTGAGCGTGTTACCTAAGCACATTAAGTACAGATCAGAGTTCAGCTGTCTGCTATGAAGCCAGACACCAAAACAATTTGTAAGATGGTGAAACAATGCCAGTTTGCTCAATACACTTTTTTGTTTGGGAAAATATAGTGAGTTTTCATTTGAAAAGTGTTATTTAGCATGTAACAAGTGAGAATGCTCATTTAGATGCTGGGAAACTGCAACTACCTGTGTGATTTCTTTAAATTTTAAATAGATGCTGTGTTACATGTGCACAGCTCAGCACCTTGGGTGAACTTTGGGTCTAAATACCCGCCTCCTTCCTATGGCTGGAAGGGCACCAAAATTGTAAGCAGTTGATCAGGCTCTGCGTCCCTATGTGACTAGAGCCTGTTACACTAGATGAACTAGACTTCTTAGGATGGCTGTTAATGACAGTTACTTTCACATAAAGGTTATTCACACAGCATTTTGATATAGTAAAGTGGCATGCAAGGAACCAACAGTAACATAATTGAAGTCAGTAAAATGAAAAATTAAGGTCATCAGTCATGACCTGCTAGAGAGTAAGCATGGTGTGTTAAGGATTCATTGGGTTATAAATAGAACAGCACAGTCGAGGTCAGGGAACCGCAGTTGTCTTTGGTTTTTCTTGAGGTCTGCTAACACTTCCACGCTGGGCTGGTGGAAGAGACAGATGTCTGGAAAAGGACTTCCACATTAACTTTGCAGCAAAGGACTCTGTGTAATAAATGTCTGAAAATTCTAGACAGGTAGCTTATGAAAGGATTTTCCTCTTGTCCTAAGAGCTAGTTCAAAGGAGAAAATACTGGACTGGAGAGATGGCTCAGCAGTTAAGAACACTGATTGCAGAAGACTGGGGTTTGAATCCCAGCACCCACATGGCAGCTAACAACTGTCCAGAACTCCAGTTCCAGGGGATCCGATGGCCTCTTTTGTCCTCCGTGGGCATTGCATGACACAGGTGCACTTACATACATGCAGGCAATACACACATACACATAAAATAAATTTTGGTCTTTTTGAGACAGGGTCTCCCTGTAGCCCCAGCTGGCCTGGAACTGCTATGTAGACCAGGCTGGCCTTGAACTCACAGAGATCCGCCTGCCTCTGCCTCCCGAGTGCTGGGATTAAAGGCGTGTGCCACCATGCCCGGCCCAATGAATAAATTTTTAAAAAAGGAGAAAATACTGGCATTTTGAATACTTGTAGCGGGTCATGAGAAAATGGGGCCACATGTATAAAACCATGAAATGTCTCATCTGAGAATTTTTGGTTTCTATTCATGTTCAGGAACCACTGTAAAAGGACCCTTGTCCTCCATGCTGTTCGTTTTTCACAGCCTCCACTGACACACCTCCCCTGGTCTGCATGCTCTTCTGGCCTTGCATACTCTTTCAGGCTTTCCTTTTGTGCCTGACCCCCTTCTGAAGAGGTCCCTGGTGGCTGGAGAGATCTCTGCCAACCTTTTTGAGCCCCAAGGAAACTTCCCCAAACACTAGCCCGCTCCTTCTGGCCTCCTGCTGGTTCCCTGTCACCGACAAAGATGAAATGGAAGCTAGGAGTGGGCCATATTAGATGCCATTGACTGAGCTTTACTAATCCCATGCCGGAGAGATGATATAAATTATAATACCACGGAATACACAACATTCTCTTGTTTCTTTTATTCTAAAGGGAGTTTTTAAAACTGAATCTTAGCCGGGCGTGGTGGCGCACGCCTTTAATCCCAGCACTCAGGCTGGCAGAGGCAGGCGGATCTCTGTGAGTTCAAGGCCAGCCTGGTCCACATAGTGAGTTCCAGGCCAGGTGGGGCTACAGGGAGACCCTGTCTCAAAAAGACCAATAATAATATGTTTTTAAACCTGGATTTTAAAAATGAATTACATTTTTATTTTGGGAGGAGGCCATGGCCCCTGTGTGGAAGTCAGAAGTCAGTTTGCAAGAGTCTGGTCTCTTCCCTTCCATCATGTGGGTCCTGAGTTTCAATTCAGGTCTTCAGGCTTGGCAGCAGGTACTTTAACTGCTGAGCCATCTAACCAACCCTGAATTTTTAAAAAAAATATTTTTAATTATATGCATGTATGTGTATCTCTGTGTAGGTATGTGTATGTGAATACAGGGTCCCACAGAGGCCAGAGGTATTAGATCTCCCTAGAACTGGAATGACAGGTGGTTGTGAGCAGCCCAACATGGGTGGTGGGTACCAAGCTGGGGTCCTCTATAAGTACAGTGAGTGCCATCACTGTAGCCTGCTCCCTGGATTTTTATAAATGTGAATCCACAGCCATGCAGACTTCCTTATCCAGGTTACCATTCAGTAGGCATGGGGCATCTCTCAAGTGGGCAGCTATGTTCCTTCGTCCTTGTCTGTCAGATCTGGAGCAATGCTTTCAGAGAGGGGCATGTTAAACCGTGGTATGTGTGAGTATAGAAAAAAATTTGAGTGAAGCAAAGTACTTGCTTCGTTGGTTTCTTTTACACTTTTACACCTATAGTTATGAAATACTGTATTATTTTTACACATGTGTAAATAGATAAATTATATGCCTTAATGGGTTTACGGCCCTGGAAGTAATGATTCAAAATGAACACAGTGTCCTCTCACACTGGCTTCCCCCCCCTTTGGTCTTTTTGAGACAGGGTCTCCCTGTAGCCCCAGCTGGCCCGGAACTCAACTGTGCAGACCAGGCTAGCCTTGAACTCACAGAGATCTGTCTGCCTCTGCCTCCCAAGTGCTGGGACTACAGGCATGTGCCACCACACCCTGCTCAGACTGGCTTTTTTACCTTCAATCTCTTCACCACTCCCTTGAAAATTTTTATCAGCAGGGATCTTTTAGGCAAATTGAGTTCTATCATTTTTCTTTATTCTGTAAAGTTCAGGAAAAACCATACCGATGTCTTCATTTTATCTTTTTATTTTTTTAATATTTTATTATTTTTATTTTATGTGTATGAGTGTATTGCCTGCATGTATGTGAGTGCACCTGTATTGTGCAATGCCATGGAGGTCAGAAGAGGGCTTCAGATACCCTGGAACTGGAGTTAAGGGCGGTTCGTAGCTGCCATGTGGGTGCTGGGAATTGAACCTGAGTGAGTCCTCTGCAAGAGCAGTCAGTGCTCTGAACCACTGGGCCATCATTTATCTTTATTTTTATCTACCATATTAGTGTTTTATGAATTTGTAATTTCTTACAAGAATTTGATACAGTCACATACTTTCAGAATTTACATTTCACTTTAAAATACTGTGGAAGTTTAACCTGTGAAAAATTAACAAGTATAGAAAACAGTTTTCAGTAGAAAATGTTCCTTCTGTCTGGACAAGTTGGTTTGTCTGCATGTTTTGTTTGGTTTTGCTTTTTGGCTACACCACTACATTCCCAGCCCCCTTGAGACTTAACAGCTAGTGGCCTGCAGCAGATCTTGACAACGCTATTTTAACCTAGCTTCAACTGTTGGCATTCCTAAGCAGATTTCCTAATTGTTAGGGTTTGTTTCTTGTTTTTTGTTGCTTGTTTTTTGTGGTTTCGCTATGGCTTTGGGGTTTTATTTGGGGATCGGGGAGATGCAGTGTTAAGGATCAAACCCAGGAAGGGCTTTGCATATGTTAGACAATGAGCTACAGCCCCAGCCCGCCTCCCCTTTTTTTCTTTTTCTTTTTCAAGGCTGATTCTGAAATCCCCTTCCTTTCCTGGCTTGCTCCCCGCTGGCCTCTTTCCAGTGCATTTGTCACTCAGCTCTAAACTATTGCTCCTTTGCTCTTCCATCTTGAGGTGCCTGGGGATCCATGCTCAATCCTGTCCTTTCCTCACATCTTCTCTCCAGGTGCCATACCTGAAAGACCATATCCAGAAGAGAAATCCTGCTGTGGTTTCCTTTTCCTAGGCTCCCATTATTTCCAACTGAACTGTTTTTGAGTTAAAAGAAAGCTATAATGTAGATGGAAAAATGTAAAAACTGCTATTCAAAGTGGCCATAAACACCTCAAAATTTCACTGCCAAAGGGACAAAAAGGGAGGTCATGATGTCTGGAGTCAAGAGTGGGACTAATTCAAAAAAAAAAAAAAAAAAAAAAGCAGTGGTTGATTGCCAAGCATTGCTACCAGCCTGCTACTTTAGGATGTTTTGGCTGAGGTAAATACAAGTATCTCTTTTACAAGTTGTTAAAAACTGTACTTAATATATAAATTACACACTTATGTAACATTTCAGTTTAACGAGCTCAGAGTTCTGTACCACCTGGAACTCAAAAAATGACCACATATTCTTGATCATGTTCTGTATTCCTAGTGTTATGAGAAATAGAATTCCTATTGATATATACTGCATTATGTAGAAAAATGTTGGAATGACTTAGATTAACAGAGGTGCTTGTTGTTTATTATTATGTTTATTTACTGTACACATGTGGAGGTCAGAGGACAACTTTCAGGAGTCAGTTCTCTCCTTCCACCATGTGGGTCCTGAGATCAAATTCAGGTTGTCAGGCTTGATGGCAGCACCTTTACCAACTGAGCCATCCAGCCCTGACTGTGTGAAGTTTTAAACTAGAGATAGCATCGAGAATCAAGATAACATCAAGGCCTTCTTTATTTTTTTGCAGGGATGGAAAATAAAGTGAAGCTGTTTCTTACATCAGCAGGTCATCCGGATATTTAACTAAAAATATGACAGCTCTTTCTCCAGAGAACTGCTCCTCTCAGCACTGGGTACATCCATCAAAGCAGCCCCCAGACGTTAACTGTGTATTGTTCTTGATTGTACTTGGGAAAATATTGCTAAACATCCTCACACTAGGGATGAAAAGGAAAAGCATCCACCAGAGTTTCATGGAGTACTTCTGCATGTCGCTAGCGCTTGCTGATCTTTTCCTGTTGGTAAACATTTCCATTCTGTCCTACTTCCGGGATTTTGTTCTTCTAGGCATTAGATTCACTAAATACCATATCTGCCTGCTCACACAAATTGTTTCCTTCACTTACGGCTTTTTGCATTATCCCGTTTTCCTGATAGCTTGTGTAGATCATTGCTTCAATCTCTCTAAAACCACCAAGCTTCCATCCAAGTGTCAAAAGTTATTTTATTTCCTTACAGTCATTTTACTCTGGACTGCAGTCCTTGCTTATGTTTTGGGAGATCCAGCCATTGCCCAAAGCATGAAGTCACATAGTGTTTATTTTTACCAGTGCCCCTCCTATGTCAGCATTCAGAGTTACTGGCTGTCATGGTCCATGCTGACGGTTTTACTTGTGGCTTTGCTGGTTTCGTGGTCAGAAGTAATTACCTTAATACAGGCTGTTAGGATAGCGTCCTATATGAACGAAACCATCCTCTATTTTCCTTTCTCACCCTACTCTGGTGATACCGTGAGCTCTAGAAAAATCCTCTCATCCAAGCTCCTCGTGTGCTTTCTTGGTACCTGGTTACCATTTGTAGTGCTTCAGGTCCTCACCCTTTCACTCGGAGCCCGGGTTCCCGCATACATTGAGATGAACGTGCCCTGGCTGTACTTCGTCAACAGTTTCCTCGTTGCTGCAGTCTATTGGTGTAGCTGTCACAAGCTTTATTTAAGCAAGATTACATTACCTAAAGATCCATTTGTCAACTGGAAATGCTGCTTTGTTCCATTTACAATTCATGGACGTGAGCAAATGGAGAGGCCTGCATCAGTAATCATTTGTTAGCACGTGCCATATTGAAGGGACTGAAACAACTGTACAAACAGAAAAGAGCGACCCAGGGCGTGTACTGAAGCTCCTGCTCCCCTGACTTTTACACTTTTCCAGCATGTGTTCTGGGGCTGATATTAAAGTGTTAGAAATTCAGTCAGACCAACAAATTTGTGTGCCTGTTCACTAACAGTGTATTTGGTATTAATCCAAAAGTAAAATAAATGAGGTAACACTTGGCCATACTGATGTTTGTTTTAGCCCTCTACCCAAACTACGGGATGCAAAATAGCGCTATATAAAGCTGAGATTTCACTGCCAGCTTTTAAGATATAAGCTTAAATATTTTAGCAAATTTAGACCAAAAACTGTTTTCTTAAAATTACCTGATCAAAACTTTAAGGGAAGATAATTAGCTCATGTTAAATTGAACTAAAAATTTCTTGTTATACATGTTTGGAAGGGTCAGCTGCTCACCCAGTGGAACTAGGAAAAAAGATCTCTTGCCATGACATACCAAGTTCGTTTGCAGTTATAACTTATGTGCATGTCAGATCACAATCATGAGCAACATAACCTCACTGTAAAAACCTTGGACTTCTGAGATCTGGGCTGGATAATTCTTTGTGGTGGGACCGCCCTACACATTATACATGTTTAACAGACTTCCTGTCCTCTGTCCATTGGATCCGGCAGCACCTGCTTTCCCAGTAGTGACAAAACTGTCCACTTATTACTAAGCCTCCCCTTATGGGTGGGTGCAACTGCCCCCCTCCCCAGTTAAGAGCCACAGGAGTGAAAGGGTTTGAGTGGCAGAATAATCTGAAGTCATTTCATGAATCTGCATATTCTTGTCACCATTTACGAATACTAATGCATGCTGCATGAACCCAAACCTAGTGCTTCTGAGATGAGTGGCTTCTAGGCTGAGGATGTGGCTGTTGGTAGACTGAGTATCTAACATGCATGAAGCCCTGAGTTTTTGCACCCAGCACCACAAAAACAAGGTGTGGAAGCACATGCTTGAAATCTCAGCACTTGGGGAGCAGTCTGGAAGATCAGGGATTCAGCTACACAGTAAGTTTGAGGCTAGACTGGGCTACATAGGACCCTGTTTCCAAAAGTCATTTTTTACATGACTCATATTCATTTATGTATGTACTTAACTATGTATGCTGTAGCAATATCTGTTATATAGATTTACAGTGTAATTTTTTTTTAACTTGTGACTTACTAAGTTCAAGACCAACAATTGGATTAGTTTCCATATTTTTTAATGTCAAGTGCTGGGGAGCAGTGATATGTGGGCTTTGTGTACCTGGCACTGTGTGAAGTACTTACACATGGTAACAGATCCAGTCGTCCTAACAACACTCTGCTGGGTACTATTTGCATCCCCATCTTGCAGATGGCATTCAAACACCAAAATTAAGCAGCCCATCTACCCACCTAAGATGGTGCAGCTTGTGACTGGGGGAGGTGAGCACCAAGCGCAGTCTGGCTCCAGAGCCTTACTCTTCCCCTTCGTGATTCTCTCATTGTTTCTCAAAAGAAACTTATTCCAGTCAAATGTGAAGATGCTGTTTCACAACTGCTTTGCACTTAGAATGCATAATGTCTATAAACATCTTAGGATTTGAGGTCTTTTTAGTTAGCACCAGCCAGAAAAACAGTTTGATGCTGCTGGATGACTACGAATTCTGAGTTGTGTGTACAGGCTAAACACTCCTGATCTGTAATGCTCAAAATGCTTTGGGCATTTTGAATTTACAGATTAGGGATAATCAATAAAGTCTATACAAAATATATAAAATCTGAACAATTTAAGGTCTCAAACATCCCAGGCAATACTCACCTTGTAATACAAACCCAATCTAAGTCCTAAGAAAAAGCAGGATCCCGGAAAGAGAAAGTGATAATCTAAGAGGATAGCTCTGGGATGCTGGATTGCATTTGTTAACACAGTAGGCATTTTTTTTTTTTTTTTTTTTTTGAGACAGGGTCTCCCTTGTAGCCCCAGCTGGCCCAGAAATCACTATGTAGATCAGGCTGGCCTCGATCTCACAGAGATCCACCTGCCTCTGCCTCCCATGTGCTGGGATTTAAGGTGTGGTCCACCATGCCCGGCTTCCAGTGGGCATTTTTGGTGCCAATAACCCTGGACTTTTACTATTTCAATTTAAAGCTCCTCCTAGCTTTAGATATAAAATTCCAGGAAATGACTGGCCTAATTTGAATCATAGGCTCACCTGTGACCAACATCACTCCAAAGAGCAGTATTAAAAAATTGTTTTGCATGTGTTTATGTAATTGCACTCATGTCATACAATGCCTGTAGAAGCCAGAAGAGGGCTGAGCCCACGTCCTCTGGAAGAGCAGCCAGTGCTTTTAATCTCTGAGCCATCTCTCTAGCCCCAAGCTTTAACAGTTAAGGTTCGATTCCCATCACCCATACAGTGGATAGAAATTATAAACATCCATAACTCTAGTTCCAAGGTGGATATGTCTTCTCCTGGCCTCCAGAGACATTGTATGCATGTGATGCATTTAACTTACATGTAGGCAAAACACACAAAAAATTTTAAAAATACTTAAAATAGGAATAAAAATTGCAGTGTTCTATTAAAAATGCAGACATTTAATTACATCCAAATCCACCATTCCTGATTTAGGAGGTGTTTGGGATCGAACCCAGGGCTTTGTTCATCAAGGCAAGCAGTCTTCCAACTAAGCTATACCCTAGCACCTCAAGTTCAGTAGAAATGATGCTATGTTCCAGTGAGCGACAGGATGTGCATAAACACTTTCAGCTGCCAAGTGGTGGCCTCTTTAATTCACTGGTACTGTTCTTTCCTCAGTGTTCTGCCTTCCAATCAGCTGTAGCATGAGAATAAAGTGTATTTACACATTGAACTTATAATGTACACTCTTTGCAGATTTTAAACCAGGAGACTTTATAACCACTTTAAGCCCCCAACTGTCACATAAACTTAAAAGAAATAAAAATTCAATAACCAGCCAGGCTTTTATTTGTAAAGAAATGAAGTTACAACTTGTCTACAATATATTATTGTAATATAAACAATATAAATAAATGATCCTGTAGGCCCACTAGTCTTCCATCCAGACCCACGTGAAGCAATGTTACAACAATATTCTATGTGAAAATGTGCAGGTAACAAAGGTGCAATTACAAGCAAATTTAAGCAGCAGGAGTATAAGGTGCTTTCATTTAATAGTTAATGTTGTCATCAAACATTTGAATGCTCAGTTTTATTTCACTGAAGAGACACAAATAGGAAAGTCTAAAATTCATACACATGCTACTTAATATGAAAGTGCTTTCTTTAAAAAAAATACACCAAATGAATACTTCTTACGTAGATCATGGTGTGCTCTTATAATGCAAAATCATCTTCATTTTCAGGTTATGCACTGAAACTGTAACTGTGGACACCAGTCTAGGGATTCTATGCTAAGAGTACTAAAACTATTTCATTTCCTGCAAGGAGGACTCTAATACAATCTCCAACTTAAAGGACAGATCTATATATACTCTCACCACCTGCTTTCTTTAAAGTTAGAACACCTTTTTTTTCCCCTTGGTGACCTTCTATTCATCCTTGTTAGATCACTTTTTGAAGTTTTACTATGAAACTTTGATTTTAGAACAATAGAAAGAACCAAAAGGAGGAATAAAATGTGCTTTAAAAAAAAATCTTAAAACCAATTAATCATATCAACTTAACCTTGCTAAATCAACAACTTTTCATCAGCAAAAAGACAAAAAGTTCTAACTGAATCAGGAAGCTTGCAGTGCCTTTCAGTACTGTCAGAATCTACCCTGCGTAGTCTACAACACAAGCTTCGTGTAAACCCTACGTTTTAGAGGTGGTTTTGAAATTTTGACTTATTTCCATATAGGAAAAGCAAATAGAACCCATCTTTTGAATGCGGTATTTGGCAACATATGAAATTATACCATCTTTGTGCTCTTAGCTGACTTTTAAAAGTTTTTAAAATACATACAGAGCTAGGCCTGGTGCCACGTGCCTTTAATCAGAGCACTTGGGAGGTAGAGGCAGGCGGATCTCTGTTCGAGGCCAGCCTTGTCTACATAGCGAGTTCCAAGCCAGCTGGGGCTACAGGGAGATCCTATCTCAAAAAGAAAGAAAAAATAAACAAAAAGCCCATACAGAAAGCATTTATGCAACACATATTTAAACAAACCTAACATATTTTACAACTTAGGTATATTTAAAAATCAAAGCACTCACAGGGTAACAGGAATCATGGAACAGTTTACAAAACTCAGAGACTCTGGCTATGTAGATGCTCCTGTGCCTTTTTCTCAGGAAGTCTTCTGGATTGTGAGCTAACACTTTATTTGGCCCTTTTCTGCTTAAAAAGCTACAGCTATGATGCATAAAAGTTTTTAAAATATATTTTTATATCTTCATAGAGCTTTAGTATCAACTGATTTTTTTAAACATTATTTTCCAAGTATCATTTTTTAAAAATTTTTATTATTTTCATTTTATGTGTATGCGTGTATTGCCTGCATGAAGGTAAGTGCACCTGTGTCATGCAATGCCCGCGGGGGTCAGAAGAGGCTGTTGGATCCCCTGGGGCTGGAGTTACAGACAGTTGTTAGCTACCAAGTGGGTGCTGGGATTCGAACCTGGGTCTTCTGCAAGGACAACCAGTGTTCTTAACTGCTAAGCCACCTCTCCAGCTCCAATATCAACTGATTTTTAAAAAGCCAGATTTATAGTCTGATCCACAGAATCCCAGAGTGACAAGGAAATTTTACCTAATTAATAACTGATTCTCTTATTCAATCTTGCTCTCCAAATACTTGTCCATGCAAGCAGGGAAGTGTTTGATGTTACCAGTTTTGCATTTTAAATGGCATCATTTTATTCTGTATTCTTTTTATGTATTTTATGTGTATGCATGTATTGCATATGTGTAGGTAAGTGCACCTGTGTTGTACAATGCCTGTGGAGGACAGAAGAGCTGTCGGATACCCTGGAACTGGAGTTACGGACAGTTGTTAGCTGCCATGTGGATTCTGGGATTCTTAACGTGTCTTAAGAGGTGGCTGTAGTATACTTAAAGACAGTAGAAGTTGTATCTTTCTTGTTTTCAAAAGCAGCTGCAGCCTGTTCTGGCACTTTCCTTTCAGGTGTCTCAGTTTTAGAAAACCACTGTCAATACTGGGTGTGTATATGAACCTTGATGGTTAAAAATGTACAGTGACTCCACATCAGCTTCTCCCACCCTGCAACATACCATGCACCCAACGACCCTAACAATGCCTGTCATGACAGGCTCAGAAGCCTCCCTAATATTAGGAACTCCTACTGCTATAG